TTGCCCAGGGTGCACCACGTGGAGATAAGTCTATCCCACGCCCCATCATAATATGCGGAGTTTGTAGTCATTCTCACCTAAGTTCTACTAACTAATAAGTTCACGAACTGAACAACTGACTTCTTACCATTCAATATGAAAGGCTTTTTGAGTGGCTTTATACCTACCTTTACTCTACTTTGAATTCTATTTTAGCACTGAAGGCTGTATTAATTCCGTTTAACAATTTTGAATTTTGAATAATTGTATATATATAATTGCATATCCGTTAACACAAAACTATGAATGTGGTTGCGTAGCTAATTGCCTTATACGCTTATTTTATCCGATGTGTGTGTAGGTCGACTGGACCCATGATCGTTTGAATAACAACTAATGCTTTCTTCACGTGTTATTGTCTCACACGTGGGCTTCAAAATTATTACTTCCTTTTAGGCAATGTTCGTGGAACTTCTTTGAATGCTCTAGCTGGATGGACACCATTTGGTGGCCCTCTTTCACCCTCTCCCGCGGATCCTTCCACTGCTCCTGCCGGAGGCAACACCAATGGTTCTTCCAACGCAGTAACTTCTGCTGCTACCACTGGCAACAACAACAACAACAACAATAATTCTGAGGCCCAAACTACTCCAGACGTCAGTGATGCGAAAAATGTACGTCCAATATTGATTATGTCCTTTCTATATATATATATATATATATATATATATATATAATTCCTCTTGTTCTGCCTTGCTGTGAAATCAGATGTATTTATTGGTCAGAGAGGGCTCGTTTATGTACTTTGAAATTTCACCCAAGTTACCCTATGAAATCTTTGAGCAAGTTGTGTCCAATCGTAGACCGGTGGTAGCATCAGAACCAGACTATTAGGAAGGCAAATCAATTCCGATAAGTGATGGTTAAAAATTGAAATAGGCTAATAAGAAAGTTTTTTTGGATTTATTTGAGTTCTGCAATAACCGCTTTGGGCATATTTGGGAGAGAGTGCATTCTTTCGGTTATATCTCTACTATAAAGATAATCGTGTGTGTGGAGGTTTTTAAATCTGCTCTTTTTATTCAAGATCTCGAATTTTGATAACCAATTTAGATTTGTCTAGAATTCTCGAAAGCATACACCTAGAGATAGTTTAAGATTTAATGCCATCTTTATAAGTACAAGTCAATTAATTTTGATGTTTCTATCACAGGGAGGAATTCATGTGACAGAGGTACAGCTAAGTCGTGCAATGGGTACCCTCTTGCGTCTGATTGCGGATGTGATGGCAGACCTTGTGAATCAAGACGGAGAAAATGCAGAAGAGGAGGGAGACGATATCGACAGTCATCTTCGTCGGTCTGTCTCCGCCCCCGTCCTTCTTACTCCCCCTGTGGGAATTCTAGTACCTCGTAAATGGCGTGCTCTCACTCGTAATAGAGGTGGTATGGTCCAAACACCCACTGGATGTATTCTGACTCCCCTCCGTTCTCTTGTTGTTGCAAGGCCTGCTGATAGTGTTGGTAGAGCTATTATCTGCGCTGGAATGGGATCTATCCTCGAACCCATCTGGGATTGGATCTCAGAATGTCTGTGTGATTTGGAAGTTCGTCTTCGGGCTCGGGCTACCTGGGATGAACCACGTTCAGATGTTTCCAGTGTAGATTTTTGCGGAGATCATGGTACGTTAAAGCCCTTCAAAAAAATCTGGTAATAAAAACTCTTAGTTGGTTCTATTTTGTTCGTCGACGAAAGTATGTCCAAGTGGCTAATTTAAGTAATGTTTCACTATGCCATGCTCGTCAAGCCTGCGCAGTGAAACTCTTTCCAAAAGTGCATCGTTCTCTTATCAATAAATGAAGGAGTGGACGAATTCGAAACCATGCGAATGCGCCCACGTTCACATTAAACTAAACTAAGCACGATCAAGGCGGTTTGTTGCTAAGCTTTGACCAAATTGATTGTCGAAAAGATTAAATGAGATGCAAGTTGCAAAATATCTGTAGTGAAAGGTCCGAATTTCAGTACTACTTTTCATCATCTGACAAGTATGACATATGAGTCGAAGCGTTCTATTGATGGGGTTCAATGGCCTCTGAATTCTTAAAAAAGCTTTTCACATCTTCTCTAGGAAAATCCAAGCCTCGCAAGGACAGTACCGCAACAGGATCTCATCAAAATGTGCAGTCTTCTCAAAATCAAGGATCCACTGTGGGTGCGACAGAAGCCGCAATCCTGATTGGTCCAAATGAAAGTGATAGTGTCGTTGCTATTGAAACCGCCACTGAAGGTGGCGGACCAATCAAGGGATCTGCAAATCGTGCACAAACGTTGAGCTATGTCATTTCACTTATGCGCTCACTGCACAATGAGCATGACTCGCATGCTCCAGCTGTGGATATCTCCGCATACAAGCATTCAGCTTACCTTCTGGATGCTTTTATCTACTTCTTCAGGGTTAGTGTACCTCTTTCTTTTTTTAACTCCACCTCAAACTATATACAGGGTGTCCAAAAAACTGCATACACACTTAAGATAACTGTGTGCTGTAACCGGTCCCATTTATTTGCTATGCCTAGCTTTAGAAAGGACTTGGAAGATGAGGGGTTTTAGTTTCAGCGAGGTGGAGCACACCCCTCACATTACCATCAAGATGTTGGGTCTTTCCTTAACGAAGTCTTGCCAAACAGGTGGATTGTACGAGGAGGTTTTGTTGAATATCCTCCCCGTTCATCAGACTTCACACCGCTCGATTTGTTCCCTGTGTGGATACTTAAAAACAAAGTCTACGCTACGAAACCTACAACTGTTATTGATTTAAGAGAAGCCATTGAGCATGAATGCGTCCAAATCCCAAGGGATTCAGCTCATGATGTGTGAGAGATTCCATTGCTTGCCGTTGTCAGCAGTGTCTGAATCAAAATGGAAGTCACTTTGAGAACAATGAAATTATAGTTGTAGAATATTTTCACGCTTTTAAAATAGTAAAATTCCTAATGAACCCCACGTTCACAATTAATTTTATTGTGTACGCAATTTTTTGGCACACCCTGAATTAGCTCTACTACTGGTGGCATGCAAACTGTAGGAAATTTTGTAAGTTTCTGGGAAAAAAATAGTAAATTCATTTTGCTCGAAGCTTTCTACTTTCGCCTCACCCAGCCACTTGCGGTCTTTTGTTATTAGCTGTCGCCAGTGAAACTTTATGCCGTTATGCCATGTTTGGCGGGGTTTTAATTTCATTCAACGCTTTTATCAAACATATCGGTGACTTAACGGTTAATGCAAAGTGGCATTGAGTTAGGTCAGTGTGTTTGAAATATCACACTCTAACTAATGATCTACCTAGTGGCTGATGGAAAATACCAGCCTTTCTCAAATGAGAGGACAAAGGTTACTTAGCTATTAGTAAGGAATGAGAGAAGGCTTTAGGCGGCACGGTTGTATCCAGTATCCTTCAACGTACTTTTTTAAAGGTCATTTGAGTCCTTAAACTTGAATAGGCAAAAGTTTTAAGTTTTTTATTAGGTGAAGGTTTTAAATCCTTCCGGATTACTTTCATTTTTGTTCAGGTGTTTGAAGGCACATGGCCTTCAGGACTTTCCCATCATCTTGTTCACCTTCGCGAATCGCTCACAGAGCGTATGCAACCGGACGATGAGTTCGGCCAATCGCAATCACTTCTCTTTCAAGGTCACCCATTGACTCAACGCACCCATTCCTTCTTCCGTCGGTCTATGAGCACTCTCTGTATAAATGCACCTCCGGTCGACGCCATTCTCAATCCAGCTGCCGAATCTCTGCCCCTTGCTGTTATGCCGCAAGTTCTAGAGCCTGAGACTGAGCGCAGCACTTATTTTTCTGTCGACAAGTAAGATTTTCTCTCTTACCATTATTCCCTTTTTCCCACCTTTCATATTATTTCCTATATTTTAGGACTGATAAACTCTCCTTGGATTTCTCAAAGCTTGAAGGAGAGGAACCTAGGCACCAAAATTGCTCCCGAATTGGAAACAATGCCGATTTTGAACAAAGAAGTGCGTTCTGAGTGCCCTCTACTCACCCTCTACTGAATTATTTTAAGTAGTTTGCTAATTCGTGTCTTTTTTATTCTAGTTACCTGTGGGGGAGAATTTTTGGACTCTGTGTGCCATAGTGGATCCACGATGCTGCGTTGGAGTCGCAGTTTGGATGCCTTTGCCAACGCCTTCTCAAATGACATTTCTATTGAACCACGAAGTTATATGGTTGAACGGTTGTCTTTCACTACTAAAGAGGCCCGGTTCCGCAAGGACATGGAAAGACTCCGATTATGCACCAAATATGACTTATCCCTAGAAGTATGCCTCCTCAGCTCTTTTATTCATTTTCACTTTTTCAGTTGAGTTTGATTTATAATCCGAGAGAGGTAATTAAGTAAAAATAAGAATTAGGTAGGAGTAAGGTAATTTTATTGCTTTTGTCCGCTATCAAGAAAATAGTGCAAATTTTCGCTCAAGATGATCTGTCTGGACAGAGGAGAGGCTCATCAGCGTTGGTTAAAAATAGAAGTTATTTCAGGACATCAACGGAGTCTTCTGAATTTCTTGTTCATCCATTTTCTGCTAATTGCAGGCCTCCTGGTATTTTGATACCAGAGGCTTTCAAGTTGGTCTGAAATTAAATTTTTAATTGAAATCAAGCCGATTGAGTATAAATTATAATTTTTCGAGCAGAAATGTTGCATTTTCAATTTTACTCCTCGCATATTCTCTTTTTTTTCTACCCTCGTTTCTGCAAAAGGAGGCTTTTCACGAAATTTCTTAATCTTTGACGTTTTTTGTCATTTAATATATCTTATTACTTAAAATCATCGAGCAGTATTTCACCGGCCTATTAACTAGCGTCATGATTTTTATTGAACCTTGGTTTTGTAATTATTTGCTTCAACCTCTAATTAGTACAAGATTTTGGGGATTTGTGATTTGTATATCGTAAGAGTATTGTTGAACCTTTTAGGCTCTTGCTTTAATTTGCTCTCACGTTCTCGCTTACAGATTGATCGTGACCCATCAGCTCTAATTCTAAATACTGCAACTCAACTTAATAATGAACTCTCAAGTCGTTTGGCCCAGTCCGCTGTCTATGGCAACAGTTTTCTTATGCGTGATTCAGCCAGTGTAGCAGACCTTCTTCGTTTCCATCATGAGACTGCTACAATTGCTTCTGGTACAATCAATTCACAGGTGCCCTCCAACCTTCTTAATTTACCCTCCTCATCCTCTGGCATTCCAATTCTTCTCTCTCGTCGAGTGAAAGTAGTTTTCCGGGGAGAACCTGGTGAAGGGTCAGGTGTTACCCGCTCCTTCATCTCTTCCTTCGCTGAAGCTGTCACCGCCGACGCCCGTCTCCCGGACCTGTCCCTCCTCTATCCTAGTACCATTAGCAGATACGCTCATCAAGGTTAGTTATGTCAATAGTTCAATGGAAGTTGGAGTAATCGGTTTCAGCTCCAATTTGTATACTTCTTCCTTTATTTCATGCCATCACACCCTCAGAAGCCCTTATTAATGCTCGCGCGGCTACTCAAACTTCCCTGATGGCTGCTACATCTCGACTTTTTAATCGTCTTAGACTCCCTCTCTCATCTAATTCTAATTCTACCGCCTTCGCTTCTTCCACAGCAAACAACGCGGCCACGGCCATGACAACTACGACTGGGAGTGGTTCCAACATCACGCAGGCAACTAACACGTCCTCTTCGTCTGCAGCTACAGTAAGCAGGTCGCGTCGTTCTGAGGTTCAGGCTGCTAGAAATCACCTACGACCCCCCTACACCTCTTCTATATCCATTAACCTTGCAACACCAAGGAATACTCAATCCGAAGAGCTGACTGAATCGAACATTTCCTCTGAACCGACTGCAATGTACGTTTGACATTGATATAACGGTCAAATACTATCAGATCAAGGTCATGGTTCGCCAGCATTTTAAATTGGTCAAGAAAGCGAGACCTTTTATACGAGTATTTGAAATGACTTCCCTTCGTCATTTGCGTCTGCCAAGTTAGAGGTCATCTTTTCGATGCTCCATGACGCGATCGGTCAACTACACTTGTTAAGTCTGTTAAAGATGAATGCGTTAGTGTTCAGGCTTCTGATAGAAGGATCCTTAGAATATGCCTTCATTTGGCCCTTTGTGAAATGTTCGCAATCGTTTTCATAATGGTGAATTTTAACGGTTCAGTTTCTAACTGATTTTATGATGATTCCAGCTTCAACTTGCACTAATTAGGTCGTTGAAATTCTTAATTGCGATCTATGATACGGAATTTTTAGTTTATTGTCCTAGGCTGCACTTCTAATATGGGCTTCCGTTATTGTTTAATGAAGCTTTCAGAATGTCGTAAACGAAAATTTTTCCATCTAATTAAGGATCTAGATCTTTTCTGAAAGATTTATAAGCATTTCTGTCCTAATTGTGCCTCGTATCTTAAAGTCGTCGTAGATTTCTATTTTAAGTGGGAATTTTTTGCTGTAGATCTATACCGGTAGCCACGACAGAAACGGTCGAAACCACAACAGCTCCCTCTGCTACTGGAGTAAGTCCACTTGATGGCCCCGAGCGAGATCCTCTACTCTGGCAACCAGGTCACAGTGGCTTCTTCTCTCCTCGTGGAATTCCTAACAATCTCCCTTCCGACTCTCCTGCTTTTCGTGCTAGGATGGATCTCTATCGGTAAGTTTCTTGTCTCTTGATAAAATTGTGAAATTCTTCAAACTGTCTCAATTTCAACTGCTTCTCCTAATAATAACCCCCTAGGTGTATTGGACGAGTGGTAGCCCTGTCTCTTCTTCACTCTGAAATCTGCCCAATTAGTTTCAATCGCCATGTCTTGAAGTATATACTTGGTCGCCCTCTGTGTTGGCATGATTTTGCTTTCTATAACGTCGATCTTTTCGAGGGCCTTCGTCAAGTCCTCTTGCCCGTAGTTCGTGGAGAGGTAGGTGGTGCTTCTACTTATTATCATTCAGTAATTGAAATTCTATTTGCATTCGTACTAAATGCAATTTCAGTAGTTAGGATTATTTGTGATGCTTTGTTCCTTTTTTTATTCTAGAATGCTGATATTGTTTCTGACTTTTGTCTGAATTTCTCATTGGCCCTTGCGCCTGAAGAAGGTGGAAATGTGACGAACTCAGCTCTTCATTTGCATCAGCTTGTGACTGGAGGTGATGGCATTGATGTCAACGCGGAAAAGGTCTTTGAATATGTAAAACGCTATGCTGAATTCAAGATGCTTGATGTTGCAAAGGATGCTCTTGAGGTTTGTTTTAAATTGTTACACTAAGTGAAATAGCATCGTTGTTAAGGCGTTACATTATAATGAGCTAAATGAACCACATACATGTACTAAATGCTAGTCGATTGTCAGTTTGATTTTTCCCCATTTTTATGTTTACAAGATATAATTTTGGATTACTATTGATTTTATATTAATTGCTTGATTCATTCATGATTTCATCATTGAATGATGCCTTGTTTTGTAAGTGTAGTAGTATCTGCCGAAGTAAAAAATTTTTATTTGCTCGTTTCATTGTTTCCCATCTATGTACTTACCTATCGCACTTTCATTTTAATTGCTTGATCGTCTATGTGGAAGAAATTAGACAAGTTCTCTTACAGAATTGAGACTTTAAGGTAAATATCAACAGTGGTCCTTAAAATTACAATACATTTGTGGAAAGGAACGAGGTAGATTTTTGTAAAGCTGACTTTACCAATTTTACAACTTAATTTAGCAAGGCGGGGTGGTGTGTCAGAGAATCACTCCTTTGGAAAACTCGCGTTGTTTGTCAAAATAGTAATCAGTTACATCGACATTAGTCCCAAATACGCAACTTCTTTATGAGTCAGGCGAAGCTGCAAATCTAATTATCTTAGAAACTAAAAGGATGCAACTTCCTTCCCCCCCCCCACATTGTGGAAGATCAAAAAAACTCGTAAAGGAATGATAGATGTGAGTAGCAAGATAACGAACTTCGAATTAAGAGGAGTTGGTATGGACAGTTGGGATGAGTATACCTTGAGTTATCGTATGTGTACTGTGGTGATTTTCAATCGCTGAATGTGCTGCTGAAAATGTCGATCATATGAATACGGACTCTATGGCCACTTTTCATTTTTTTCAATACGTCCTAATGTCTTTTAATGATGAATCGAAAATCCAACTTCTTGCATATTTTTTTTATTTCCCATTTAGCAAATCCGTTTGGGTGTGTTTGACGTCTTACCAGCCAATGCTCTTGACGGTCTTACTCCCGAAGACCTACGTCTGCTTCTCAACGGAATTACTGACATTGACGTTGATATGCTGAGCGGTTATACAACCTTTATTGACGAGTCTAATTGCGGTGCCGCCTTGACAACTGAAGGTGGTGGCCAACAAGGTGGTGGTGGCAGTGATAGTGGTACTGACTATGGTGGTGCAACTCCCAACATTTCCAATCCCGCCAAAGATCGGATTGAGCGTCTGAAGAGGTGGTTCTGGCATGTGGTGAGGGGAATGAATCCACGTCAACGGCAAGATTTGGTAAGTCGTCTTTTGTCGTTAACAAGTGGTAGGTATGATTGGATTATTTGTGGATGTGAGACGAAGGCGTAGGGCTCTGAGCACTCGCTAATTAAAAGTAGTCATGATATGTGATGCACCTCTCTCCAATATTAGCCTGCAAGATGGCTTTTCTCCAGGGCCTGTGAGAATTAGGGATATTGGCAAGGATGGAATCATTTCGAAAAATGACAATCTGTTACAATTCTGTTGCGGAAATATTTGTAGCCTCTTAAAATTGTGCATATATTTCATGGGCGTATTAATTTTTTTCCTCAGCTCTACTTCTGGACGTCTTCTCCAGCTCTTCCACCGAGTGCTTTGGGTTTTGAGCCCTCTCCGACTATCGTGATTCGTCCAGCTGATGATCAACACTTGCCAACCGCGAACACGTGCATCTCCCGACTCTACCTGCCTCTCTACTCCTCTCGACAAATTCTGCGCGAGAAACTCCTCTCTGCCATTGAAACCCGTTCTTTTGGCTTCGTGTAGTCGTGTTATGTCGTGTTTGAAATATTAATAAGGGATTCGCGCTGTTATAATTTTGTCTTCTTTTCCATTTGGATGATGGGTGTGGAAGCTTTCACTTATCCGTCCATTTAACTGAGTTGGGGAGAAAAGTAACCTTGACACAACTTCGAGCTCTGAGGCAAAATTTCGTCATTGCTGGGATTTTACAACAAATCGTGTCTTGGGATTCTTTGTATTTTACTTTAGTTGGGCATTACCTTTGTTAGGTTCTGGGTGACAATGGTCTAACCACAGTGGGCTTAAAGTTAACTCCTTGCAAACCGTCTTAGAGAGGCAGTTAGACTACTACCAACTTTCCCAAATGGGGAACTTAAGAGTTTTGTTGGACAAACTTGGTGGAATGCGAGTAGGTTGCATTTGAGTGGAGGATAAAGTAGCATTGTACGAGGTCTTAGCCTTCAAGAGTGGGAGTTTTCAAACCTCACATTTCCTAAACTTTTTTGGCAGCAGTGGTAAGTGTGCACGCGGGAAATGGCAGAGTTTTAGGTGATTAGTTAATGTTAGACCTACAGAGCAGAAATTTGTGGATTTTCCATTCGTTCTCTTTAAGACCTCAGCTGCAAGATTAATTTTGTTCATTCATGTTAGCAGGAACAGAGAGTCACGAGGGCACATATTCGACATTATGCACTACTGGAAAAAAGAAATTCCTCAGGATAGGGCTGAACAACTGGGAAGATTCCACTGCTCTTCGTGGGATCAACCGCATGCCCCCGCTTCGCTTTAATTTGTGACAATTCGCTTTCCGTTTGATTGGAGTTATGAATAGATTTGTATCCGGCCTTGAAACACTGGAACTAAATTGAAATTATTTTCCGGAATCCATACCCAATCATTTATGAATTGAATAAGTTACTATTATTTGAATATCTAGCCGATTTCGGTATTATTTATGCGGAGGTGGTGAAATTGCATTGATCTGCGGAAAATTCTTCTAGTACTTGTAGCTCGAATTGTTGGCATAGAAAACACAAAAGCCGGTCCATTGGCAAGTGCTTTGCTAATCAAGAGGTTTAATAACTAGACAAAATCATGGAAATGCTTTTTCAATGGTCAATAAAATGAGTGGATCCCATCGAGATTCAATTATTAATATCAAATGGCAGGCGTTATGATGGTAATCATTAGCCCTTTAGTCGACTTCAGGCTTCACAGAGGAGAAGGAACATCAAAGTGAAAAAAAGTCGAGGCAAGGGGGGGGGGAACAGAAGAGTGTTTCAAAGACGAAGGTAGAAAAAAAGGTGAGGTGAGTGCTGGGGAAGTAGTCGAATATGGCATACAGTGGGGTGATGGTAGTTTGAAGTCAGAAGTCAACTGCCGGTTAATAGACTTTTTGCCGTATGAGAATACGTTGCCCAGGGTGCACCACGTGGAGGTAAGTCTATCACGCACCCCAGATTCAATTATTGAATTCTTTTAAATTCGGCGAATGGAAGCTTCGTGAAACATGCATTTAACAGATGAAATAATTTTGACAACAAGCGATGACAGGGCATACGCTTGTTACATAATAATAAAGCCTATAAATTTCATTAGATATGAAGTATACGAGTCTTCTCCAACAATCGATAGGCTGAATTAAAACACTAAAAGAGAGGACTGTCGGAGTAGGAAGATTGACTGAAGTTAATCGATAAAAAAGCAATTTCTCCGTTCACTACCAATTTACTTGCAGCCAAGCGGGACTAGCACTCACACCCAACCATTATCAAGTGAATATGGGTTTTATTCCCTAGTAAAGAGAGGGTATAGAGAGAGCGCAAATACCTAACTTAAGAGCTGGTTGGGATAAATGCGTACTTGACTGTTGGAAGTGAAGGGGAGGGAAAATGAGGCACCTAGTAGTAACAATTTGAAGTGGGGAGAGAGGGATTTTGCGCTCGCCAAGCAATCTATCCTAAATTATCGCCTGACACGTTGGATAGATTCGTTGTAGGCCCCATACCAGAAGACAGAGCGACCCAGTAAATTAACACGAACGAGTATTACATCATCTTTTGTCAACCATCCAAAAGACCACTCAAACTATAATCCCATATGTGTTGGAAGTAGGCTCACAGTCAAGCAAACACGTCTTTGGGCAGAGTGGACTAATGATTCAACGAAATTTGGAGGCACTGAGACTATTGGCTTGATCGTAAGTCGCTATCGTTCATGGTGCAATAGTTGGACACTATTTTTGTAAGCCGTTTACTTACTTCTCCATACCTCCACATTTTTGCATAATATCGATTCTCTGCTCATTCATGTTCAATTATCTCTTCTCACTGATGTGCTCTAATAAAGATACATTTAGACAGCGTCTTCTACAATATAACCTCATTGTCTCCTTATTTCCTTTTTGGGCTAGAAATAACTAAGGCAAGTCATGTCACTCATCATACTTAAGATGGTTCTCCGAATTGATAAGGCCTTTGTGCAATGTCTTATATTTGGGATGTGGGGTGTGTGATAGACCTACCTCCACGTGGTGCACCCTGGGCAACGTATATTCCACCACTCCACAGTACTCACCTCACCTTACCACTTTCTCTATCTGTATGGAGAGGCAAAGAATCGAGTCAATTAGAGTAGACAACTCTGAGATGGACTAAGTGGAGAGAAGCAAATTTGAAATATAACTTTATTAATACAGTAAATTAATGACGTATACATGGGAAAGGGTGGTTTCCATAGAAAGACTAATTGGAGAAGCCTTCTTAGGTGAAAAAATCTCTGATCCAATTAAGAATTTATTGTCTCCTCTTCTAAAGTATCAGTTACCACCTTGGATGCGTTTCGAAAACATTTGACACGCTGTGTGGTATGTACCCCGAATTTACTAGCAGAATCGTGAAAAATTGACACAGTCTTCTCTCTATGCAACCAACCGTAAAGACTCTGCATCGTTTTAGTCAGACCCGCAAGAAGTGAAGTGAGACAAACGTCGCTAGCTTGACGTAACAACACGGTCTGATCTTCTAGGTCGTAGACAGAGTTATTAGTGTTATCACCAAACGGACCGTTAGAAGATACTACTTGGGGTAATCGAACAAGAAGAGCTCTAATTTCCCGCAATCTGGCGTGGTTAAAGGGCAACTCCCCTCGCATAACTGCATCTACATAGTCTCGAAGTACATTTAGACGGTTTGAAAGCATTTGAACCGCTTGGTGGTTTTCTTGTAACGTCTCGGCTGTTTCAGAAAGCTCTTTAGGTTTTGATAAATTTTTGTGAGACGCGGTGGTAGATACCCCTGGAGCATCAGTGGTATCATTTGTGCCCATGTCAGCAGTGACTTTTGCAACATCAGCAACACGAGCCAAGAGGTCAATTCCAATACTTTCGATAGGATCGTTTCCAACTTTAAAGGTAACCTATAATTCACGTAAATATGAATTCACAAAGAGTACAGAGGTGATATTATAAAAATGTACCTGTTTAAAGTAAACTTGACAATGGCTGTCGATGCCTGATTCGTAAAGACGGAAAGGAAGTCTCTCGCAAGTCTTATCCAAAGGATCCAGAATCAGTATATAAGGACCTTCGAATCTTTCTGAGAACTAAAATTTCAAATATAAAAAATTGGACAGCTAAAATACCTGAAAATGAAAGGACTTATTTTCCTCAGTCAACGATCTTCCGTTAGTATACCAGCCAACAATATCTAGACCCTTGTAAAGTTGTTTCACTTTTTCAGCACGATCAATTAAATAATCCATATCTATGGCCATTTCATCAACAACCATTTCAAATGTGTTGTGGATCTATTAAATTTATTTTACTACTTATATCATTAATCTACCTCAACATCACGTCCATTGTGTTTGCCCAAAAGACCACCATAAGCGGCCGCGTTCACAGAGTCATAAATTAATTTTAAACGCATCCAATGCTCTGATGCATTAAGCAGAACCAAGGGGTGAATAACTACGGAAACACTGTGCTGATTTGAAGTATCCACAAGAGGATCTGAATCTTCAACTACCTCCATTTCAAGAGAAACTTGTGAATAACAAAGTCGATGATATGTGTTCTTATATGGCCTTGATTTTCCATCATCAGCACATGAGGTCAATTATGATGCGCGATTTATAACGTTACAGTATTTTTGTCATTTTAATACTAAGTCAAATAAATCACTTATTATTACAAATTGTAATATCGCTTGTTGATAACCACTGAAGATTATTGTTGATAAAAAGCTAGCTATTTATCGTAATTACTGGTAATGCTAAAACACGGCAAAGGTTAAAGTTTATTTTAACTAAAATTGTTTTATGTAAATTCAAATATATCTCCACAATCTTTAAGGCTATATTTTCTCTTCAATATCGAATTTTTACCTACCATATACACATAATAGCCAAAGATGAAGTAACATATAGAGATATATATTGTAGTAAGAAAATTCATTCTCTTTATCGTTATAATATTATTTGCCTAATATGTAGATATTTTTCCAGTATATTTCAACGTTTAACTCAATTTGCCTTCTGAAATCATTTTTAGTATTTATGAAATATAAACAAATATTTAATGCATCAAAACATGTCAAGATCTATTTGGAGCTGCTTTAGTAATTAGTTGAAATATTTCATCCTTGCGCCCCTTCTTAGTATGTGTTATGTTATCATACTTCGCAAATTTCTAGTGATATTTACAAGTATATATATATATATATATATGTATATATCTGTATATATACGATCAAAATCTTACTGCAATATGCCATGTTTAGGCAACACAAAACTAGTTCAATTTCAGCAGTATGGAAAAATCAAGTCATGTCATAGCAAAGTCAAATGCTCTTTACTAAAATGTACTATGGATAAAGATTTATGTTATTTCACATTGGATTGAAAATACATTTTTCCACAATAAATTGATTATTTTCCGTTTGTTAACCCGTTCAAAGTTTAATGGAACAAATTAGTTAAACGAGATACAACAATAGTAATATAAATTAAAAATACGAATGTAAGCTTATTTACTGAAGTCATCTGATTTATGGAAAAAGAAAAAATAGTCAAGACTATCAGAATTTTAGTTTAGTTTGGAGGCACAAATATTGAAGATATCAGACCATTTAAAAATCAAAATTAAGATTATCTTTTTCTCTTCATTGTGAACCACCGAAATCTAAAAATATTATAAAATTAACACTTCAAGACTGATAATGTGATGTTAAAAACTAGACGATTATAGGTTGAAAATTAATAATTTATTAAATTTGTAATTGATAGCATTTGAAATAAGAGTTAAACCACAAGTTGGATTTAACCATTAATATTTGTCTTATGTGAATTATTCGACATTACTTTTTATAGTTGACGTTTAAATAAAATTTTGATAACGGTCCATTCTTATCATGTGTAAAAATTTCACATAGCTTTAAGAAAGAGTTGCATATAAGTAATCTCTAAATAGAACATGATATATATTTTGCTCTCTGTTGATTTTATTACGCAGGCTCATCGTTAAAATATATCATATAAGTACATTTAACATATAACAAATATATTTTCAGGTATCATAAATTTAAAAAGAAACAACAAAAACAAAGAAATAATCTGATTTACAGTAAAATTTAAAGATCGAATATAATTTGCTCTAATAAAAGTGGGGAATGAATGAAAAATGGTTCCTAAATTGAACACCCAATACAATTACTTTTTCAGACTAAATTGTTATTTTATGCAAAAATCAGTTAAATAAATAAAATTAAGGAAAAAGAGAAACTTTGATTATCTTTGAATGTCAATTAAATTAGACATTTGAAATAAATTTTATAGGTATTGTTTGAGTCTGCACTTTGTAACTTGTGCACTCACTTTGCTCTAACATGGGTAGGTGGCGGTCTCCTCTTTTCACGTGAATTTATTATTTTCTTACCAACTATGAATTTTTGTTGTCTTGTAATCGTATAATTCGTTTAATGAATGCCGTAGAACTATCGAATTAGTTGTTTTTCGTGTTTAGGAATTGCACGGGATAGGATTCACAAGAGGAGTAAGACCGGTGGACGCCGTGAGCGTAATCGCAAGAAGAGGAAGTTCGAATTGGGTAGGCCTGCGGCTATGACAAAGCTTGGCCCTAAGAGGATTCACTCTGTGCGCGTGCGTGGTGGTAATATCAAACTTCGCGCAATGCGTCTTGACCAGGGCAACTTCAGCTGGCCCTCTCAAGCTATTTCACGCAAATCTCGTATCATTGACGTTGTTTACAACGCTTCAAACAACGAGTTGGTTCGTACCAAGACCTTGGTCAAGAACGCTATTGTTCAAATTGATTCTGCTCCATTCCGTCAGTGGTATGAAGCCCATTACCTTAAGGAACTTGGTCGTCATCAAGCAAAGGGTGGCAAAAAGGTTGAGCCAGTGGAAAATGCCGAAGAAGATGTCCTTCTCAAGAAGCGTAGTGCTTCAGCGATGAAAAAGTTTGAGGCCAGGCAAAAACTCCCACAGGCCAACTTGTCCGACCATCTAAAAGAGCAGTTTATGTCTGGTCGTCTCTTGGCCTGCGTGTCTTCTCGTCCTGGTCAGGTTGGGCGTTGTGACGGTTATATTCTCGAAGGCAAAGAATTGGAATTCTATTCAAGAAAGCTTAAGGCTAAGAAGGCTAAGTAATGTATAGCTTGTAATAAAGTCTACTGGGTATTTGATATTGTTTTTGTTCCCTTTTAAAGGAACCGTAAGTGGGTGATTGCAGAGTCATAGCTCCTGATCTGATGGTTTAGACCAGGTTTAATACACTGCAAAATTTATATCTGTAGTCATTTTTGTGATTTCGGATTACATCGCTTCAATTTCTATTGGATTTATGATGAGTTTACTAATTGTGTTGGCTTTGCGATTGGGTTTTTACTTATTCAGATTGTCGAATTGGGTTGTTTTCGGTAACAACGTGAGTGGTCTATGCAAGCGGGGGCATCTTTGAATGCGTACTAATGTATTCCTACCAGATGATTTCCGGATTCATTACGCGGAATTTTACTGATTTCCTGGATGTTCTGTTCGTAACATGATTAACTCCATAGCATTATATTTGGGGACTTGCATGTTGCTGCAGTACACTATGTTTCCACTTATGGTTTTGGGGAATAGATCAGCTAGAATTAACCATGGGCAAACGTGAGGGTATTTCACGTTCCAAATCTGTACTGGAGTATTCTTTTATATCCAAAGGTAGGAGCATGTACACATTAGAAGTAACAGGGCAAACCTATTGATATTCCAGATTATTCTACTGTTATGAGGAAATCATATCCAGAGCTGGCGTGGCCTTTACCTTGGAGCAAAATTTCGCTTCCTCAAAAATCAGCTTCTTTGGAGGAACATGAGTATTATTCAGAGTTGACGGAAACGTACTGTTGCAACTATTGGGATACATGAACAATCGAATTTTGTTAAGTCAGTTAATTAAGGCAATTTCGCGCTTATCCGAAGCTTTTCTCACGAAGGATATATCCTAAGTATTCAAAAGGGTTTTATAGGGAATATCCATTTCTCAGCGTTCCTTCTGATTGCCGCCAACAGCAACCAAGTTGTATGGATATGTAGCAGTAGACGGGAGGCCTAGTATCACCCTATTCATTGCTTACCTTGATGGTCGGTCAGACTTGTGTGACTTCGAATAACTTATTAATAGGTTTATTTATTTATTACATAAAGTGGTAGTTATCGTTAGCCCTTTAGTTGACTTTAAGTTTCATAAAGAGGAGTATCAAAGTCACAAAAGTCTCTGTGGGGGGNAAATAAATAAATTTAAAATGGCAGGCTTTGTGATACTTATCATTAGCTCTTAAACTTTTGACTTCAGCTTCCCCCATGTGTGGGGGGGGGGGTACATATATAGCAGTCAATTAATAGCAGATCATTAGCAGTCTTCTTGCTTCCCAGTATCTCTGGCTTTCCGACGTTGTCTTTAGGGCTGGACACCAAATCAGGTGGGTCTTCTCCATTTCCTCCTGTAGGCTACATAGGGGGGCATGTGGGTTGAGTGTATACTCCCAATCTGTGAAGGTGTTTTGCCAAGCAATCGTGTCCGGTACGTAGTCTAAACTCAGCAACGCCTTCGATTCTTGGCCAGTCGGGTATGTCGGAGAGTGCCACTGTCCACTGTTTCTCCTTTGTTCGAGCTTTGAGTTCGTTGAACCTTGAGGTCTGGAATTCTCTCCTGATTAAGGCCTTCATTGTGTGGAAAGACGTCGGCCGGTCCATGCATTGCAAAATCGTTGTCCCCTTCTTAGCAAGTGTGTCAGCAATCTCATTGCCTTTAATGCCACAGTGGCCAGGAATCCATTGTAGGACCACTGTTTTGTTCTTCACTCTCAGCAACTGATAGTGTTTTCCACATTCGTTTATCTCTGCTTCCAATTGGGACTATTGCTGACTGTGAGTCCGAAAGTATCACCGCTTTAATGAATTTTGTATCCAGGCAACATAATTGGCATAGTGCTTTCCTAATGGCCTCTATTTCTCCTTCGAATGCGAATCTATTGTGTCCCGCTGCTACGTGGAGAGAGAAGAGTTCAGAATAGACACCTGCACCAACGTTTGCTTGGTTTTCTATGTATGACCCATCAGTGAAGACTTGGAGCCATTGATCTGCAGGATAGTTGGCATTGATTGTCTCAAGGGCCAGTGAGCGCATTTGTTGTGGGGGGCGGGTGCTTGATTTCCTGAAGAAGTCAAGCAGTTGGGTGCAACACACATCATCAGTGTCTGCTAATAGGTTCATGGGTAGAGGGAGGCTTTTTGGTTTGTCATCGATTTGTAATTCTTTCTTCAGTTCTATGGCTTTCTGTATTAGACCAGATTGCGTTTTCAGATGTCTTGGTCCATTCTAATAGGTGCTGAAGAACTTATCCATGGGAATGCGCAGTAGTTTCTCATACAGGATCAAGGCCTTTTCTTTGATAAGGGAACGTATTGTGGTGCTTCCTGTAACTAGGAACATTGCATCAATGGGTGTTGATTTTATCCCTTTAGTAATTAGTCGTAATGCTTGGTTATGTGCCTTCTCGAGTGGTTTGAGAATCACCTCAGTGACTGTAATGAGTGGTGTTGAGATTTGAGCGTGCACAGCCTCATACGCTACCAGCAAGACGCTTCAGTACATTCAGTCTATTGGAGACTCGTTCTGCTATTTTAGCTATGTGAATTTTCCATGTTAGCTTGGTGTCAAACGTCATTCCGAGATAAGCGAACTCATTGGTGTTTTCTATGGTAGTATCCTTGTACCTTAGAAGCGGTTTTATGCTGTGACGGGTCAAAGAAAATGTTTGGAATGCAGTTTTCGCGGTGTTGATTATCATTCCATTGTTGTCGCACCAGTTTGCTAGTAGTTTAAATGCACAATTTAGGGCACTTTCTGTCCTCTCCTGAGCGTTTTTCTTAGGGTCGAAATACCATAGAACAAGATCATCTGCATAAAGTAAGCACTTAACGCCCGTGACTGTCTGTACCAATTCGGCTATGTCATTGATGAAGACATTGAAAAGAGTGCAGCTTGTGACAGCTCCCTGTGGAAGGCCTGTTTGCAAAAGATTGGATTTTGATAGAGCATTTCCATATTTGACTTTACATGATCTTTGTCCGATGAATGATTTTATCCATTTTAGCATGTTATGCTTAATACCAATCTTTGCCAATTTCAGAGTTAGGTTCACTTTCCATACTAAGTCATATGCTGATTTGAAATCGACGAAAACAGCAGTAAGAGTATTTCTTGCATCAAGGGCATTTTTGATGTGTTGGGAGAAAGTGGCTACTTGTTAGTTAGTTGATCTTTGTGACCAAAAACCTGCTTGTTCACTCTTAAGAATATTGTTGGTCTCAAGGAACCAGGTGAGCCTCCTGTTAACCATTCTTTAATTAAGTTTAGCCAGCACGCATGTGAGGGAGATAGACCTATATTTGCTAGAGTCTTTATCCTTTTGAGGTATTGGTGCTACTATGGCAAATTCCTATTGGTTATGTACGAGACTGGTCTCCCAGATTTTTGAACAGCATCAGCATGGTTTCCTTGGCTTTTAGTTCCATTTTAATTTGAAATTCCGGATGAATACCGTCTTCGCTAGGAGACCTCTTGCACTTGAGCTATTTTATCGCAGCATTAAGTTCGCAAGGTCTGAATGGTTCAGAAAGTACATTCGCAGCATTAAGTTCGCAAGGTCTGAATGGTTCAGAAAGTACACTATTTGGTGTTGCTATGTCTTTCTTAATTTTACCAAACTGTCTTACTTGCATCTTTAAATCTCTTGAAGATTTTCTGACAAAAGGGTTTTTCTTTTGCTTGTGGGAATAGAATCTCGCAAAGTAGTTAGCTATTTCGGTGTCGGTGGTAAGCAATTTGCTGTTTAAGCGTATTGGTTCTTTCCTGGGTCTTTCTCTGTTGTTTTGGAGGTTGCCCAGAAATTTGAAAGTGCGTTGACTATCACTTTGATAGTTGATATTTGAGATGAACTTGTCGAAGGAAGTCTGTTTAGCTTGTAAGATGGCTTGTCTTAGGACAGCCGACTGCCGTCTCCAGGCTTGTACTTCTTCCGTCCTTCCAGTCTGATCAGCAGTGTTGCGAAAGGCGTCCCGCTTTCTTTTTAGTTGCCCAAGGTGTTTAGACCAAAACACTCGATAGTGTTTAGTCTTGCCACGGGGAATAGTTTTCTGTGCACATCTGATCATAATATTCTTGATATCATTGCAAAGTTTGTCAGGATGTTGGTTGAAGTAGAGGGGACTTGTGTGAAGTTCATCCTCTAAAAGGTTTGTGAATCTAGGCCACTCAGCCTTCTTGAAGTTCCATGATAGCTAAGTTGGCACTTTCCTTGTCATGATTTTGCTGCTGATGGTCATACTAGCAATGACTGGTTTGTGACCAGAACCAGGATCGTCAATTATTTTGCGGCGAGTATGCTCACTGATGTCGGTTGGAGCCAGGAGCAAGTCAGGAGTTGTTCTGGTTCCATTGTAGTGCAAATATGTAGCCGGATCCTCATTGCTGTAAATTAGTTCCAGAGGGTTGCTGTTTAGCATGTCTTCAATTTCCTTTCCAGCTATGTTTGTATCCTTGTAGCCCCATCTGGTGGAGTGGGCGTTGAAGTCTCCTAATACTACAGTTTTGTATGAGATGGTCAGAAAATAAAAGTTGGGACAATTCTTGGGTGGATTATAGATAGCATATATCTTGAATTGGTTTTGACATTTCCAAACATTTAATCTGATTATTTCACATTTGTCTTGTGTCGAGCCCATACTCTTGATTAGATCGCAGTGTGATGTGAGACCTACTTTCACTCCAGTCAGAATTCCACTTGCAACTTGCCGATGTTTAGGTAGAAGGTACAGGGTGTAACCTGTGAATTGGTAGTGCTTCAGTTTGTCATCCGAAATGTTTGCTTCCATAATTGTGAAAATGTCTACATCATAGATTTGAGCTGGGAATTGGTAGTACTTCAGTTTGTCATCCTAAATGTTTGCTTCCATAATTGTGAAAATGTCTACATCATAGGTTTGTTACTGTATTTTGTGAAAATGTCTACATCATAGAGTGTAGGATTTTCTCTTGTAGGATTTTCTTGACTTGGATCTTTTTGTCCTGTGACATCCCTCCAGCATTCCACTGGAGGATCTGAAGACGATGTTATTGGCAGCATTCCACTGGAGGATCTGAAGACATTGTGATTCGCCCCTTCCACTGGAGGATCTGAAGACGTTGTGATTCACCCTGACAAGGATCTGAAGACGTTGTGATTCGCCCTGACGAGGGCGATTTCTCTTATAGCTATTCATAATAAATCGAAGTCAAATCAAATGCCGAGTGATAGACATTTTTCCCGTACGAAGATACGTTGTCCAGGGTGTACCACGTGGAGGTAAGTCTATCGCGCACTCTGCTAGAAAAGACATTGACGGATACGAAGTATGAATAGCCTAAAGAAGTCTTATTTTTGACAGAAGGAATCGACCATGTCATTAGTTGTGTCGTGCAGACGTTTTATGTACCATTCATGATGGGATATCAATCGGAACCCCGCTAGAGAGTCGCTATGCTCGGATAAAAGGGAATTAATTAATTGTATAAAACAATACATTCCGACAATTTACCAGTAGATTTTTCTTAAAGTTTCCATTTTAATTAAGATGTGCTGTATTTAACCTAGTTAATCTACAATTACACATTATCCCTTATCGTCACTGGCAAAGCTCAAGGTCACCGATTTTATTGAAGATATTTTATTGATGATTTAAGTACTTGCATTTTTGCCAACCCTTACTTCGCTAATTGAATGCACGAAGTTCTAGCACTTCCTTCTGCCATGCAGAAAAATAGTGCATTAACTTCAAGGCGTGTTAATGACTCCATCGTTTGCAAACCTGCATTTTAATGATCGCATGGCGTTTGTAACTGTGGCTGCGCATTACTGATAAGTTACCAGATTAACCAATAAAAGAGTTTATTGACTTGACCCCACTATGACCTCTGAACAACATTCATTCGCTTACATTTCCTATCTACTTAAATCAATTTGAACCAGTAGGTTATGTCACTGACCGCTGTCCTGCAGGACGAATGTTCAATATTATCTGACGGAGAAAGTTCCTTTTGGAGTACCTTGCATGTGCTGCATGATGACCCCTCTAATGGTTGGGTCAATACCATAATATTTAAAAATCTCGGACGAGTGCTTATACCCAAATAGTCTGGCTAAATTTCGAACTATTGCTCTATTATTATAGTTGAGCTTACAACCTCCAGCTTACTACCACTTAGGAAAGGCATTTGAAGATACCCTTTAGTTGACTTCAGGCTTCACAGAGAGGAGGAGGAACATCAAATGGAAAAAGGTGGAGAGGGGGGAGATACAGACACAAAGGTAGATGAAAGTTGATGTTAGTGCGGTGGAAGTAGTCGAATATAACATACAGTGAGGTGGTGCTAGCTTGAAGTAAGAAGTCATCTGCTGGTTAATAGACCTTTTTGCTGTATGAGTATACGTTGTCCAGAGTGCACCACGTGGAGGTAAGTCTATCGCGCATCCCGCAGATGAAGATATAGAGTCTCTTCTTGTAGAATCAAGCCGGTTCCTTGAGAACCTTAATCAAAATGCAAAGCGGATAACTCGAGGTTCAGGCAACTCGTTATAACACTTGTTTGTATGAGATATTCCTGAAACTGCGACCAGGGGGATCACTATGTCTTGTGGAAAAAGGGAAAGAGAGGCAGAGAGAGAGAGTTACATTTCGCTCTCTCCAGTAGAAAAGCGTTTCATGCAGTAAAAGTAAGGGAATTCTCCTAAACACTGCAAAATTTGCGAATAATAAAGGAACAACGAAAACTAAGCTTGGAAAATACCTAATCCAAGTCCCTTATTCCCAGTCTATTGGTTCAACTCTATTTCATAGCCTTAACAATTGTAATTCGAATAACCATTCTATTGCGATATATATAAATATGAAGTTATTCCACCATTAAATATACTATCCAGTTCTCGCACTAAATAAAAGCTCTTTTAAATTATTACCACCTCACATTCACTCAAACTGGTTGATGCCTACTAAAATTGAGGTTGGTGCTGTGTGCGATAGACTTACCTCCATTTTATTCACCCTGGGCAACGTATACTCATAAGCAAAAAAGTAAATTTACCTGCAGTTGGCTTCTGACTTCTAACTACCATCAACCCACTGTATGTATAGTCGACCACTTCTACCTACTCTCTCTCATCGTGTCTGTCTCTTATACATCTGCAAATCACTCTTCGGTCCCTCTCTTGAATTTTTCTCACTTTGATGTTTCTTCCCTCTGTAACGCCACTGTATGTCATATTCCATCACTTCCTCAGTGCTCACTTTACCTTTTTCTTCTACATCTATGTCTGCCTCTTTTACAACTGTGATTCACTCTACTATTCCCTCTCTAGACTTGGACGTTCCTCCTCTCTGTGAGGCCCGATTTCAACTAAAAGGCTAATGATAACTATCATAAAGCCTGTCACTTGATATAAATGAATATTTGATTTTGGCTTATTTCTAATAGCATACGTTTCAACCCAACAAAATAAAACACGTTCGAACCCAAAGGTGGCGACAAATCGTAGTTTTACACAACAAAATCAAGGCATCAAAAGTCGTCATTAAAGTTCTGAAATTACGGCTCTTTTTAACTATAACAATAGTTCAACAATTCATGCTCCAATGCACCCATTTTTACTAATAAGACTCGTACTTGAGATTCGCATTCGAGTTGATTAACCACCGACCAACCGCCTCTTTTTCTGAGAGCAGCCAAATTGTCTTAAGCACAACCCAGATAAATTAAACTTAATATTTAATGAAAGAACGCCCTAGCTGGCGAGTTTTAGGTGCCTGATTTATTAATCTGTCCAGATCTACCGAGATAAATGCTAAAGAAACCAACTTATCAACAGAGACACCAACTTCAAAGATGGCGAATCCCAAGAAAAAAAACGATCAATGCTCAATAAGATGTAAAATTTGTCGAATAACACCTGCTTTAATTATAGAATACAGAATAGAGTGCAGAAGTCGTATGGTTCACTCCTTAGTATAAAGCCATCTCACTCGATTACTCTCTTGAGTATTGAGATAAGACAGTGTGAACCCTATAATTCACAAAAAGGACTGTGTAATTAGGAGGGGATGGAGGTGATGACACACAGACACGCATGGGTAGCAAGCAGACTGGATACACACACATTTTCAGACTGATACAAAATCACCATACAGGCGCGCAGAATGAAGAGAGAGAGGAAGAAATACAGTAGAGGAAGGGGAATGGAATACATGACATAGATAGATATAGATTAGTCAGCCATGTCCATGCCACCAGCCGCACCGCTGCCACTAGCTGTTACACCAACGCCACCACTCATTCCAGACCCAATTCCACCAGCTGAATTTCCTAGAGGAGGGTAGTCATCGTTCATTCCAGCTGGACCCAGGAGACCAGGAATTTCAGCTTGTTGCCTTTGCTTTTCCAACTGAGCAGCCGCGATCTCAGCTTCCCTCTCTTCCAAGTAGAGATCGGAGAGATCCTCGCCCGTAATCTCTCGTATTTGGACAAGGAAGTCCCGCAAATGCTCTCGGAATGCGGTTACGTCTGTGTCTAGGGCGAAAAGACCCTTGATGAAAACAATAAGCTGAGCCTCTTGAAGGTGTGGGAAGGCCTGTTTTAACATCTCCAACAATTTTTGATGGACATATTGAACGTTAACCTCTGGAGCAACGGTCAAGTTCGGGTCCTCGCCTCCAAGCGCAACAGTAATCTGTCCTACCTCAACCATTTTAAACATAAAGGCCAGAAGAGAGGCTTGGAGGGTCAAATCTAAAAGCGAAAGTGAACCCATTAAGTGAACGATAATCTAATAACCAACAAGGGCTCTAAGGTAATTCCAATACTTACTCCCAGTTTGCGAACGGTCAGTAATTACTGCGAACATGTGTTGCATAATCTCGATGTAGAAACATCTAAGTAAATGCTGCTGAGTGGAGGAATTAGGCACAGCAAGATTGGAAAGCATAGTGTGGAGTATATTGAGACCAGTCTCACTGACTTGTCGCATAGTATGTTTGATGGCCCAAATAACGCTATCAAGAATGAGTTTAAACTTCTCTGTAGTGAGAGATAAAAGGGCTTGAAAACAATTGGTATTGACTGCCTGGAGAAGAATAAAGAAATTAGTTCGATGCTCGGGGAAATCTTCCAAGTCCTTGTTAATCATTTCGAGGGTGCACTGGAACACTGCATCAAGAATACGAGGTAATGATCGAAGAACATTCTCATTTAATCGATTTACGATCGTAGCCATAGTTGTGAGTACTTCGGGTTCTCGGGAAATTGGAGGACTCTGTTGATAGTCAGTTGCAACTGCCTCTAATAGAGGTGGGAGGAAATCGTTTGCTACCTACAAGTTTTTAACAAATATTAGCCATTCCAACACTAGACCAACAGGACTTTTACAAAAGATTGATTTACAAGGATAGGGTTGTGGCTACGCTGGATCCAACAAGAAAGGAGATTGAGAATGGTCTTCTTAACAGCCCGCATGGAACGAATAAGGGGTTGCTTAACAACTTGATCGCCTTGAGTTGCAATCAGTCCATTGATTTGTCCAGATAAGAGTTTGTAGACATTGAGCATGTCGAGGTAGATACGACAAAGTTGAACCATATAGCCGTTACCCAGGGCCCTGCAGGCAGCATAGTTGGTTTTGAGGATATTGCAAAGTTGTTTCACCACCTCCACATCAGTTACAGCCCGCACATCAGAAGCAATACGCAAAAGAATTTCATCCCAAATACCGTTTGGCAGACGAAAGAGTCCTTCCACGAGATCATTCTGTGCTGCCCTATCTGTTTCGGCACTTATTATAGTTGCCACCGCTTCGTAGAAAGTATGCACTTGTTGGGGCTGCAAGTCAGATATTATTGAATCAGCACTTCGGATAATGTCCTCTACGAAGCCACAAGACGCACCGGGCTGGAAAAAAGGAACAATTGGAACAAATAATGATGAGAAATTTATTTTTCGTTCAAAGAACTGGTAACTTACTTGAAGAATGAGTAATTGTCTTCGGCATTTCTGAGACACCTTGATAAAAGTATCACAGGCCATATCTTGAACACCTTCGTGTGTTTCATGCATGAACTCAAAGAGTTTCGTGGCGACTGTCTTGAGGAAGCGCCAGTGGGCTCGCAGGAAACGAGGATATTGCCCCACCACATACATGATATTACTAGCAACAATAGCCTTGTTGTCTTTACCGCGTTTATGTTCACAAAGGCCCAGAAGATCACGAATTACAACGACTAGAAATGAGCGCTCATTGTCCTCCATCATTGAACCTGAAATGCTGCCAATGGCCCAACAAAGTGAGTTGAGATTTGCACGGGACCATTCGGTGCCATTAACTTGGTTCTTGAGTTTTTGAAGCATGATCTTTTCTGTATCCTGAAAAAGGAGATGAGGAAAGAGAAGTCAGAATTACTAATTTTATGAAATACAAAAAAAATAAACAAGGTGGGGTGTACTCCTAGAGCAAACACATTTTTCTACTTAGAAACATGTTCAAATCCATGGGGAGCAAAACCGGAGAATAGTAAACAGTTTACTAACCTCGTGATCAAGATGGGTCAGATAGACTAGTGTCTCCCGCATAGTTTTGTAGAGATTTAAGCTATCAGTATCCTTCATGAACTCTCTCACAACTTCGCCGTGATCATTCTCAACAACCAAAACTTCCTCCGGGCGGGCCATTCGAGATATCAAAATCGTTCGAAGCTAGAAAAACAAAAAATAAGATATAGTTAAAGACATTCGCATAAACAACTAATTCTACCACTTACCTCAGAAAGAATAGGTTCATACTCAGCCTTAGCAACAGTAGGTGAGTACACAGAGCGACAAGAGAGAGTTGCCTTGGTGTATAACTCACAGACCCAATAATTCCAATACTCAAGACAAATCTTGAAGATTTCCTTATCGTCGACCTCAGAAATGCGAAGAAGATATTTGTATGCGTCGACAAGTTTCGACGTTGGTACCCTGTTTTCGAGCAATTCGCCGTGCGATTTTAAAAAGGTACAATAGAATATGGCCAGAATTTGAATAAAGTTTTGTTCATCTGTGGTTCCTCGATCAAAAGCCTCACGGATCCTGGTTGATAGAGGCAACATCTCGTTTAACTTGTTTGTTGTCAGAACGTAGAGTTCAACAACCTTATCATTGTAATCTCGCGCCGGAACACCAGCTAGAACAATGAAGGCAATGAGTATTGAAATTTAGAAAGCTTACCGATTTCTGCTAGACACTTCAGAGTGACATTTCTAAATGCAGGCACACTGAGAAATCGAGTAACAAGACCTTGAATTAGATTGGTCTCAAAGATATATCCTAGTGGAATCCAATGCATAAAACGCAGAAGCGTTTCCAAGGTGACAACAACAAGGGAAGCATTTTGTGAATTCTCAAGGACCATTTGACAAAGTTGGAAGATCATTCCAAACTCTTGGCACATGGAATCCTTCATATGCTTGGCCTTGGTTTGAGTCATTTGACCAAGAGAAAAGTCAAACACCTCTTCGCTCAATAACCGCAGAATGACCATGTTATTCTGGCATAGTGACTCATTTGTCTTACTGGCTCCAACGATATCTTGGATGAATTGGGGCCAATTTGTTGGCCATTCGAACTTCAAAATCTAAAACGATATACTATCAGAGGAAAAAAACCTTATACCTCAACAAGAATCATATTGAGTTTACTCAAATAAGTTTTTTCACTATCCATAAGTTCTGGGTTTGAAGAGGTCTGAATTATGAGTCCAACAATGTATTTTTTAATGCCTTCACACTGAGGACGTGCAAGAACTTTCCATCGAGTCTTAATCAGAGCTTCAAGGATTTGCAGTGCAAAGTATTTTGTTTGTTGAGATGAACTAAACTCTAAAATGCTGTCCACTCGAGTCCAGGAATCGGGATGCTCCTTGAGAGCACTTAGAATTTTTTCAGCGAGTTTCTGCTCATTACCACTGGACTTGTACATCGCCGTTACGACATCATCGAGTAGTTTGATGTCCAATGGCTGAGAGAAGTCTAGAATACGCGTGGCTGTTTCTTCGGTCAGCATTATCTGAAAGGTAAAGCGATTTAAGAGCAAAACGTCATGACTACTTAACTTGGATAGTCGTCTCTAAATACAGTTAACGTTATAAAAATTGTTAAAACGATCGGATCTTAAAAATACCATTGATCATGTGGAGAAATATAGAAAAATTAACAACGCTTTTAAAATAAAATTATATGAAATTTCAAGCCAATAATATAAGAGGACTCAAAACATGAAATGCATGCCTCCTGCGCACCACCGGATAATTAAGCGACAATGAGTAACCGGTTTTAACTGGATTTCAATGCACGAAACACGCTCCGATAAGAGACCAACTTAAACACTCAGGGTTGAGTTTGATTTTCCATTATATTTTTTAATATTTGTGTAATTAGGTTACAAAGTTAACTGAATGCTTTATTCTAATTATGTTTATTAATTTTTTATGTTGACCGTAATTACTATTATGGACTATTAAATGAAATCATTTGAAATAAAATGGAAATTCAATTTAAACGAGAATGTACTTTAATGGAATTTAATTTCTATCATTATTCACAAATCATAGCTATATCCTTAAATATTTGCGGAAATCAATTAAGTATCCAATTATTTGCTAAATCTAGTCATTAGTTATTTTGAAAAAATGGTGATGAACACCACATTTGTTCTGCTCACAAAGCATTTAAATTTTTTGTTACATTTGTGTTAACCTATCGCAATTTCATTTTTATTCTAATAAGTGTCTGTCCTACCAAATGATAATCAATAGCTACATTGTACAAGAATTTTTAGTATTTTAAACCCTTAAATATAATTTTTCTTTGTTTTTGGAGAAATTATGTGTTATTTAGGGACTTGCTTTTGCTCATAGAATATTGACTTGTATGGGAAAAATAGCTAAACAAATAAAGTCATACAACTGCATCAACCAAATTTGCACGCCTCCAGGTTGAAAATACATCCAAAATGAGATAATAACAATGATATTTATTTATTTCAAATGGCAGACGTTTTAATAGCTATCATTAGCCATTTAGCTGACTTCGGGCTTCAAAGAGGGAAGGTTAATCAAAGTAGAAGAAAGTCGAGGGGTGGGGAACAGAAGAGCGATTCACAAATGTAAAAGAGACAAACAGACACAAAGGTAGAGAAAAGGGTAAGATGAGTACTGTGGAAGGGGTCGAATATGACAAGCAGTCGGGCCATGGTAATTTGAAGTCAGAAGTCAGCTGCCGGTTAAAAGACTTTTTTGCCGTATGAGTATACGTTGCCCAGGGTGCACCACGTGGAGGTAAGTCTATCGCACACCCCATAACAATGATATAGATTAATGAATGCTTGAACTAATGATTTTGGTATATAGATTTTCAGGTGACAATATAAGTTTTAATACATCGAACTATTCTTCTGAATAAATTAGTCCCATCTAGATCTTTATTTACATTGACAAGTATTCGGAAGTTAATGAAAAGTCCAGTTGAAGAAGTGGTTAAGTTAAATTCCGAACTTGTTACTAACTATGACTCAAAAATAATTAATATCCCTGGAATTAGAAATAAGTGTTCTCTCCAATGCTTCTTCTGTCCATTTCACTTGCTTTCATTTCGAGATAGGCCAGTCTATTCAACACGGAATATTTATTAAAATTACTCTGAGTGAGAAAGTTTAAGTATTCTTGCCAAATAAAATTATTAGTTTATAAATACTCTTCACGAAGAGCCATTTTAAAAATGAGAAATTTGTTACGGATTGCTACATTAATAAGCACTCATTAGTTACAATTATAATTATAATTATTATTATTTTGAAATTTTGCAATTTTGCCTGCAGTTCCGCCAACCGGGCCTTGTCGGCTTGAAATAGTGGCACAAACAGCCAAGTCGAGCGATAGACTTAACTCCACGTGGTGCACCCTGGGCAACGTATACTCATACGGCTCCACGTGGTGCACCCTGGGCAACGTATACTCATAAGGCACCACGTGGTGCACCCTGGGCAACGTGTACTCATACGGCAAGTAAGTCTATCACGTGGTGCACCCTGGGCAACGTATACTCATACGGCAAACAAACTGGTGCACCCTGGGCAACGTATACACGGCAAAAGAGTCCGTGGTGCACCCTGGGCAACGTATACTCATACGGCAAAATGTCTATTAATCGGCAGCTGACTCCTGACTTCAAACTACCAAGACCTCACTGCATTTCATATTCGACTAATTTCACAGTACTCACCTCACCTTTTTTCTACCTTTGTTTCTGTCTCTGCTACGTCTGTGAATCATTATTCTGTCCCCCTCTCGACTTTTTGCCTCTTTGACGTTCATCTTCCTTTCTGTGAAACCCGAAGTCAACTAAAGGGCTAATGATACCTATCATAAAGCCTGCCATTTGAAATAAATAAACATTAATAAGCCCTGACTATACTCAATTATCTCCATGACAGATTCTCCTATATCTGGTTAGACTCCCAGAACTTATCAAGCTATCTCAAAACTATAGATGAAACAAACGTATGAGGTTGCATGCGTCTATTGGGTATGGCATGCTATAGCGACGTATTTATTCGAATCTGTAATTATTTGCCCGACGAGTAACTGGCACGGCGTGCTAGAGCATGGTCTTCAGCACGGTCATGAAGTGATCTGGAAGTCAATGTTCAAGTACACCTTCTGTCATGAAGATCTATAAGTAAATGAAATTGATATCGTTTCTATTGAGAATCGACGCATATCTTGCAAAATCTGATTTTGATGAGTCATGGATACCAATTGACACATACTTAAATGTTGTTGAACAGTGACATGTCATATCAAATCCTTCCCCTTCATTTTCTCTGAGTGTCATCCAGACCCGAAAATTAGAAAAATTAATGGAATCGAATAGGTGATTGTGGAAGTGGTTGGAGATAGGTCCTTACTTAAAAACATAACAGATCGTATAAATAAACTGAGAGTGATGATAATTGCCTTAAAATATTTGCAAATGTGCGGAACACAAGACTATCGATTGCCTTGTCTAGTCAACTAAGAAAGTATATTGCCCATTTAAACATTTATAAAGAAGAAAAATTTGGCAGATTTTTTTGTGTCTTAATGGTTCCTGCTTTTTTCTAATAAACGTCAGATTTTTAAGCAAAAAATTTCGAGTGAATCAGGTGCATGATAATTTTGGAAAAATAGCCATAACGGTTGATATGAGTATAAAGAATAAAGGTACACAATATCAACTTGCACAGATAAAACAATGGTTCCCAAAGTACCACAACATGTCGAGGATATTGAGATGAACAAAGTAAGTATTTTTTGCAAAATTTTTTTTTAATTTAAAGGAAAGGAAACACGAAATATCAAAACTGCAGGAGTAAAACAGATAGATAAGGGGATTGTTTGATCTAATTATTATGCTAGAATCGTTTCCTGTCCACCATTCTCTATCATTTCATTTATAGCAATTCCAAGATGCCGAAGAAACTGGCGTTCCTCTGCCAAATAATTATCGTACTCCACCTGGTAATCGAGAAAATGGTTTAGTGAGTAATTCTAATGAGTAGTTTAAGTGCAATTGGAGGAGTTACATTCACCTTCATTTTATGCAATCTTTCATGTTCTGTTAGGGCAGCGGCTGAAGTGATACCTGCCAATCGTTTATTCTCTGCCTCACTTTGAATACGCTCCTGTTCACGTTTCCTCCATCGGGTTTCAACAAAATCTCTTCGACGTTCCTCGCGCTCAAAATAAGCCTTTATTGATTCCTTCTCTTCTGAACCAGGCACATGTAGCCTGTGTGGCACCTAAAATAAGCGTTTACACATATACTGAAACCTAAAGCTATCAGCCTATCCCATTCTCATTGTCCGTAGGCTTACGAGAAAAATTTTAAGAACTCCATTCATATCTCCAACAGCAATGCACTGCTTCCGTCCCTCTTGTTTAATATCCAGGGAAGTGAGTGCAGTCGATGAAATAGAATGCAAAAGAACTGGTTCGTGGGTCTTATCCAAAAGGTCCCAGGCTTCTAAAACCCCATCTGATCGTATTATGTAGAATACTGCAGGCCGAGATGGTGACCACAAACCTCCTAAAGTGTAAAATGACGCTACTTATGTGTTATTAAGTAGGCGTACCTGTTGGTGCTTTTGTATATATAGCAGAGCAAAGCAAGGGACCGGATTTGACATTCTCTTTCCACAATGACCAAGAAAATCCGCCAACGCAGAGATACACATCGGAAAGGAAGGACGACCTTTCTAAGAATAGAATTGGGCCATCGTGGTGCTGAGATACAAAACTGGGCATTGGTGTTTGACGCTTGCCAGTTTTGACATCCTTTTGTGGAATCCAATCAACATGAACTATATCTCCTTCCTCTGTACCACAGATGATTGTTGTGCTTATACCGTCTAATGGTGAAACCTGTATTAGACTCGGGCGTCCTGTGACACCATCAGTGACTATTTTCTTGTTATGATTGGATTTCAGATTAAGCACCGAACGGTTTCCCTGCCTTTCCTAAAGTAATAAATCGAGTTCGTTTAAAAATGAACAGTAGAAAACAACTTGAACTTCGAATATTTTTTTATCCATATTTTTTACTTATTTTCTTAACATTTATACTGGGCTTATTTAGAATGAATGAATTTTACGGGCAATTCGTACCTCATATTCGTGATCATATCTTTAAAACTGACCCTACCTCACCAGGTTATTGCAAGATTTGATCTAGACTAAACACCCCATAAGTGCGAAATATAACTGAATTTGATTAAAAGTTTATCATGAAATTTATGTTTACAGCTGATTTTACAATTTTCTGCTAATTTTTAACTGTGACTCAAACTGACTTTGTTGAGACATTTATTTAAAAAGCGTTTAAAACGATAAAGTAATACCTTCATTTGCACTTTTTCCTATAAAAGAAGATAGCAGATAAATAAAACTAGAGATTCATGTGGAGCGTACAACGTTATCAAGGCCACCTAAAGTAACATCTCGCGTAGTAGAATATTCTGGGAAGCGCGAGACGTGCTGTCGTTCGCTAAGCGAGGAAACTGCGGTAGGGCGTGCAGAGTTCTGTTCAGCTAGTCAGATATTCATATTCATTCAAAGTTGTGTTGGTCGTTTGTTTTCCCTGGTTACCCAGAAGCTGTTATAAACAATGTTCCCAACGTGCGTTATATTTCCCTAGTATTGCTAATGTAACCGCGTTAATTTTGTTAGCGATTTCATATTAAAGGATTTTGACAGAGAGGATTGTTTAGGTATACACAAGCGCACCTCAAGAGTTATTAATGTGTTCTGTACTTCCTACTTTAGGTTTAACAGATGGAGGAATGATCCTCTATAATACAGGGGAGCACGGAAATGGTACACCAGAAGGCATGAATGTGTGTTCCCCACTTTTACTAACATATTCGCATCTACGCATCAAATTCGCGAGCTCAGATATGATAACAAATAGAAATCGAGCTTTGAAATGAGAAAAAAGTGCCATAAAATAAACAGGAAAAAACAGAATAAGTGCTCCAAGTGAATTATTTGAATAGGCTACAATTTGCTTAAGAATGTGGTTTGAATATATAAATTGTTATTGCACGGACGCAAACATAATACTCGTAAAAATCATGAAATTCGAGTTAAAATATATAGTTAAAATATAGTTTATATATATATATATATATATATGACTTTGTAAGCAAGAAACTAAAAAAATTGCAACATCCAATCATTCGAAAGCACGATCGAAATGGTATAGAGATAATTTACTTTTTCATCGCTTCAAATTACCGAAGAGATTAATATCCTCATAAATAAGTACAAATCATACGATTTAATGTGATCTCGTAAGAAAGACGCCGCAGCCACCCCTTTTTATGCCAAGATTTACTATACTTCTATTTGATTATATAGGTATTAACCTAACATGTCAAATAGCAGCTCCTTTAGGCCCACTTCTAAAGTTACTTCTAAACTGACCAACTCAGCTACCTATAAAAGGTGCGAAATATCTGCTAGATGAACAGTGAATAAGAAAATAGATTCACCTTAATGGAAAAACACGTTGGACGGTGATCCGGAGTGGTATCTGGTCTAAAGAGATTAATTTGCAACAGGGGTTTCCATTTGGCATCCAGTGCGCTGAAAGTTTGCGGAACATCGTATGGCATTATCATCTGATCCCTTGTCTTATCCACAGCCAAAGCACACTTTTCTGGTCTTAGATCCCAAACAAATATCCCTCCATCTGTTGCACAAGTGAGTAACTGAAGGCTTCGTTGTTCTAAGTTCTCATAAACTGGAAGAAAGCATAAAACATTTAGTAATAATATTTTGATGGCAACAAATGTAAGAAGAAGAACTACAATATACCTATTCCGAAACTGTCTAACTCAATATGATCAGGTAGCCATTTCAGATAAGTAATTGGAGTAATATGGGAAGCATCAACGTTGCTAGTAGCACACCATTGAATTACTGGTACCTATGGGAAAGAATCATAAATATTACTGAGATGATAATAGTAGACACACTCTATTGAATTCTTTTTCATCAAATGTGAATAGCGGAGGTTCCTTCGGAATCTTCAATTTCTCCGCAATGTCAGTTAGGTCAAATTGAGAAATGTCCCAGAGTATTACTTCTCCGTTGTTACAACCCCCTGCGACAATGTGAGGATCAGTGGGGTTGAAACTAAAGCAATAGATGTCTTCCGGGGCAAGTAATAGGAGTTGAGGTTGGGTCTGATCAAAAACACTCCAGATTACAATATAAGTAGGAGTAGAAAGAATTTTTGACATCTGATCAACACGATCGTCATAGGTCAATTTCTCAACAACCGACATTGCAATCAAACCGTCAATAGTAGGATGCCATTCAACATGAGAAATGGCTTTATCCTTCACAAATCTAAGATCAGAAAGAACTGATAGTTCCTTAAAAGTATGTGTGGATTTGCTGTCAAAAGAATTATCCTCGACCCCCAAATTAACAAAATCATCTGCAAGGAAGTCAAACAACCAATTCTCTTTGATTCCTTGCTCAACAAGCTTAATAATATTGTCACTTCCTAAAGTTAGAGTTTGCGATAGGGAAGCTATTGTGTTAGAGCCCTTTTCCTCAGTTATTGTCATTCTAGGGACATATTGTACGACTTGATTGCGAGGATACTTCCAATTTGTATTAGTGCTGTCATCTTTTTTCATGTTAACGCAGGTAACACCTCGCTCCAATTCCATGATTGGAACACTGAAGTTCTTATTTTCATAGGGCTTAACCTCCATATAATTTGTTTCAAGATCTTCACAGTTGCTCAATGACCGTACTACTCCTAGCTCTTTACATGGTCGTTCAAATTTACAGACAATTCGATTACGAGATTCTGCGAGATGCACTTTCTGAATTTCGCGCTGTGACAAGCGAAGTTGAACCGTCGGATACTTCCAAGTAACACTATCATCTGCTTCTTCAATTATATCCAAGGCCAAGGATTCATCGTTTATCTTCGTTTCGTTCAAACGAAGAGTATAATTAAGATCCTGAGAGGTAACAATAATGAAATTGCCCCCAAATTTTGATTTTTCATCATAAATGAAGGTGATAAACTCGCCGGGATAGTCGGAAATTATCTCTTTTAAAGAGACTATATTATGTTCGGTAGAATTTGACAACTCGAGAGCTTTTAGGAGGACTTCCTTCTCAAGATTCAAACCAAGGTATATAGGTTCTATTGTAACCGAAATAGCTAATGATCTGTCCGTTTCCGGAGATATAGGAGATGATATTTTTGTTTTGTATTCGCTAAGATGAGATATGAAGTGGTTACCAAACACCTCTGCCTGCTGAGACGGAGATAATTGTACTACAAATACACCATCACCCGGAAGACTTGTTTGAGACATAAACTCATTTATGGCATCGGTGTCGTAAATCTCATCTTCCCGAAAATTCAAAAGGGTTTCATTTACTTCTGTTTTTAGGGGAGGTTTCCATATTTCCTACATTTAAAAATTCTTTAAAAAATTTTAACAACAAATGTCTAAAAAATCAAACTCTAATTCACCTTTCTTGGGGATTTCAATCTATTTCCAGGGCCTTTTTTTAATGGTGATTTCTAATAAAAAACAGTAAAGTCACAAAGCACAATAATTAGTTATAGAATAATAAATGAGTTTACTTTAAGGTTTCGCTTGCGGTATTTCTCCACTTTGTTTGTTCTTTTTTTGGAATCCATTATGACTATTCAAATATGCTAAAACACAATGCCGTGATATTTATGTTAAAAAGAGAAAACGTGATTCGGTAATATTAAAAGACCATCAAGGATTTTCAGTCGACTTAACCTTGTTATTCTAGAATAAGTGTAACTTATTCCCATAAAATGTTGTGCGTAAGTCATATCACAAGAATATCAAAAGAATGCATGAAATATGAATAAAAATATTTGATAATGATATCAATGAGTAAATTTTTCGAACGGCTGTATTAGTGAGAACTAGGTCGTTTCCAACATAGTTGATACAGATAAACGAAATAATGAAATGGTAAAATCGGGCATGTTTATTTAAATTGCATCTTAATCATTATGTGATTATTTTATGTTGCATTCTAAATATAAAATTACAAATTTTCTATGACAGGAGAATAGTTTTTTGTAAAATCAACTTTATATGCCAAAAATGAAACAATGAATAATTATCTTAAATATTTTAGAATTAAATTCTCAAATTATTGAAAAACCTGTGCAAGGTACCAACACCATATTTTACCGCAGGTGCTTGTTTAATGAAAATAATAAACAGATTGCAATTAAAAATAAATTAATAAACTATTTTATTTCAATTGTAGTAATTACTTTTAGTCTTAATTACTTGTAATATTTACCCCAATTTGAAAATATTTTTCAATAATTATTTTGTTTGAATAAACCAGCCAAATTTATTTTAACGACCAGACTGAAGTTTCAGTTTAACTTGTGATTTAATACGATGCGGAACTCGGTTAGTTGTGCCCGCCGTGTAGGATTGTTCATTTACAACCCTAAAAATGGAAAAATTTTAACGAGAACTTTAAAAAGCTGGGGTAAGCTTTTCAAAATGAAGTTTAGCTTTTAGGTCAACTATTTCTCTATTATGTTCTCTTTTTCACGTGCCTCGCCGGTTTCATAGCAGCTCTTAGCTTTTGTTTCTTCTATCCAAAGTATTACAGTATTTCGCCAACGCTTACGGGTGAACAAAACCTACTGATGTTGAATCCCGGTTTGTTTTTTTTTATTGAATTCTTTTCGTTATTGATTATTGACTTATCTAATTTCCTTTTCGATAGGTTTGAGCAGTGTTCCGCCACCTAAACATAACAGTCCCATAACGCGTGTTACGACATTTGAAAGCAAATATAAGAAAAACTACTTAAATTATATGAAAGAATATTTATCTCACTACACGCCCGGATCATCAAATTGTGACTTCGGTACTGGACAGAGATTGTCCGGAACCATTCACAATTCTTGCAAATTTCCACTTGAATTACTTGGACCATGTTTAGACCCTGAAAATTATATTACTCATACTGACAATGCCTGCTTTTATCTCAAACTCAACAAGGTATTTAATTAGTTTTACTTGAGTGTGTTTCTCCCTTTTTTTCACATTGCTCTCTCTTTTTAGATCTTTGGATATGTTCCAGACATTGAGGGTAACAAGATTACAGTGAGATGTAAAGCTAAGGTTAGCCACTAAATTATTTCATTATATTTAAACATTCGGATATCAAATCAACAATCCCAAACTTTGTTCAAACTAGCTTTCTCGAGATTCGGATCACCTTGGACAGCCAGTTTACTACCCTTCTGTTGAAGCTGATAATGAAACTCTGTAAGTGTCATAATATGTGTGTAGCTTGTAAAAGTGCTTTTTTGACATTGAAACCCTATCTTTTTTTACAGTGGCTACTTCTCTTCGGCTCCCTTTCCATACATTCGTCAGTCAGACTATCAAACCCCTCTCCTTGCTGTCACGTTCCCGAATATCAAACGCAACCAGGTGATTGGAGTATCTTGTGTGTCCACTAATCTTCCTGATCACACTGCCTATAGCTTTGAGGTCTCCGTCGACACTAATGAGACCATTCCCGTAAAAGAAAATTCAATCTTTACCAACATGCTTATTTATTAAAGCTGTCTGTACAATAAGTCAGTTGTATAGTGTCGATTGGAAATAAAAATTTTGTAATAGGTATTCCTTGACTTCATTTCAATTTTGATGGGTTTTCGAATTTATTTTCAATGTAATATCAGAAATGTTAATCCATGATTTCGAGGTGAAATCATATTGACCTCATTTGAAACAAATCGTGTTTAAGGCTTGGTGAATATGTCATTATTTATTTTAAAGGTGTATTCGGATCACCTTAGTAAGGTGAAATTCTAATTTTCAGGCGAATCCTAAGACAACTTAAATATTAGAAGAGTGCACATGGAAGTAAATTCTGTAATGATGGACGTTGCCAAATGTACATATTTATTATTGCCATAGTTATATTGTGTGACATTAAACATAGATCAATGGTAACTTCGTTTTCAGCGTTGGCTTACCATGAGAGAGGTTATAGATTCGATATCCACAAGTGCACATTACTTAATGGCATTGGCGGCATAATCGAGTCGCACCAGAATTTGCAGTGGATATCCCTCTCTAAAGTAAGGTGAGCGTTGGAGAATTCCATTTTGAGTGAATCATTATTGATGTGCGGGCTTAATCAAATGCTCGCTTTTTTAAACCACTTAATGAGAGTTGAATGTCGAGGAAATGAAGAAATGTAGAAGTGGCCTAAGGGTTCAGATTCTGGTTGTAACTAAATGTATTAAATTCATTCAGTCGAAGCATTTATATCAAATGGACTACCTTCACAGAGGGAAGGAACATCAAAGTGAAAGAAAGTCGAGAGGGGGGGAGGGACAGAATAGTGTTTCAAAGACGAAGGTAAAAAAGGTGAGGTGAGTACTGTGGAAGTAGTCATGGTAGTTTGAAGTGAAGTAGTCGAATTTGACATACAGTGGGGTGATTGTAGTTTGAAGTCATGTCAAATGCCGGTTAATAGACTTTTTTGCCGTATGAGAATGTAGGACATATAGGGGGGTCATGGTAGTTTGAAGTGAGAAGTCAACTGCCAGTTTATAGACTTTTTTGCCGTATGAGTATACGCTGCCCAGAGTGCACCACGTGGAGGTAAGTTTATCGCACACCCCGCATGCGAATATAGTAACAAATGTGCCTTAAAGCCAAGAATAGCATTTTCTCGAAGAGAGGATAGGAGAAGTCGTTCAATGGACGTTTCCCTTCACCTTTGCCCACTAGGTACTCCACTTATAGCATTGTTATTATTTCCCTCCACGGACTGGGAAAATAGCAATCAATTTGTGATAATGACAAGCGTCTAAACAAGGGGGGGAGAAGGGGAAGTGATGTTAGGAAAATAGGGAGTTCTTATGAACCTTGTATTTTCATTTTTCGCGCATCAAATCTTTATCCCCACATTGAAATTTCGCATGAAATGTTTTTTTTTAGGTAACTTCGCAAACTGTCCGCTTTATTGTGAAGGCCTTCAAACAGTCGTCCGATAGAGGTGGAATATCCATCAGTTTGTGGACATCCGTGGTGTGCTTGCCTACGACACCAGTTCAGACACTTTCCCTCTTCTCACACTTTTCTAGGTAATTGATGTTCTAATAATCGTGGGGGGGGGGGGGGGGGGGATTCCTTATTATGATTTGACTTCCAAATTATGCACTCCTCCTCACCAAACATCTGTTTCGCAGCAAACTTGGGACACTGCTCTTAGTATGAAAAATGCGCTTTAGACTATTCCAGTTTTGGAATTTGGATGTTCGAAAAAATGGGCTAATATAACTAAATTGTGCATGGAGATTCGCACGAGGAGCTTCTGCAATTTGACTGGCCATTCATTCGTTTCCTTTCACCTTGCAACAGGCAATGATATACATAATGATAAGAGAGGGCAGGCTCGATTAATTTGTGCGACGGGTTTGCTCAAGTTTTAATCGAAAATACCCAGATCATAAAAATGACTTGGAAACAGAACATCAATTGAAGTTCTAGTTTAACAGTAATGTGACTATCAGAGAACTTCACTCACATTTGGAAGAAATGGAGAACTGTTTGAAAAATTGCGAATTCATCTGTCAGGATTTTGACTAATTCTTTTCAGGTACCAAGAGTATTCCCAGTGCCTAACCTTCTATCATAAATATCACCATTTGATTTTAAACCACTTTAGTAAATTTCGGCATTCGAATAATTCATTTAGTTAAATAACTTTTTGTTAGTAGCTGTCAAATCAACTTGATTAATGGAAATCAACTTGGAAATAGGTGAAATGGGGTCACAACCGTTATCAGTTAGCCGGGCAATTTGCAAACACTTTATTGCATTTATTTACACATGTAATAGCTGAGGTCATATTTGTACATGTTCTATGTGGCAAACCTGCTACCTCATCAATTGCTCGGGTAGAGTCGATATTTGAATTCATTCGTACCACATAATCACTACAAGGAAAAACAGGTGTCAATAGTGCTAGTAATTGTTGTTCGTATTGAGCAATTCATGTAATTCAGAGTAAAATAAAAGATTTGCAACCTTTCATTCCAGCAAAAGTGTTGCGATCACTTAACATTTGTTTGTATCAAATGGCAGGCATTTTGATAGTTATCATAAGCCCGT